CTATAGGCAAAATATTGAATGATACAGGAAACATCAAAGGAAGATGGAATACACAGAGTCACTGTATAAAAAAGAATTGGTTGATGTTCATCTATTTCAGGAGGTGGCATATGATCAAGAACCAATGGTACTGAAGGAAGAAGTTGAAGCTGCACTGAAGGAATTGATGAAAAACCAGGCCCCAGGAATTGATAGAATACCCATTGAGATGTATCAACAAATGGATGCTGCACTAGAGGCACTTACTCATCTATCCCAAGAAGTTGGAATACAGCTACCTGGCCAACTGACTGGAAGAGAACATATTTGTACCCATTCCAAAGAAAGGTGATCCAAAAGAATGTGAAAATTATCAAACAATATCATTAATATCACACGCAAGTAAAATCTTACTGAAGATAATTCAAAAACATTTGCAGCAGTATATTGACAGGGAACTTCCAGAAATGCAAGCTGGATTAAGAAGAGGATGCGGAATGAGGGATATCATTGCTGATGTCTGATGGATCTTGGCTCAAAGCAAATACCGGAAAGATGTTCAGTTGTGTTTCAATGACTATGCAAAAGCATTAAACTGTGTGGATCATAAAAAATTACGGATAACACTGAGAAGAATGGAAATTCCAGAATACTTAATTGTGCTCATGAGGAACCTATACATACACCAAGAGGCTGTTGTTCAAACAAGAGGACACTGCATTGTTTTAAATCAGGAAGGGAATGTGTCCGGGTTGTATCCTTTCACCATACTTATTCAATCTGTGTGCTGAGGAAATAATCCAAGAAGCTGGGCTATATGAAGAAGATTGCAGCATCAGAATTTGAGGACGACTCATTAACAACCTGTGATATGCAGGCAGCACAACCTTGCTTGCTGAAACTGAAGATGACTTGAAGCACTTACTGATGAAGATTAAAGACTACAGTCTACACTATGGATTACACCTCAACATAGAGAAAATGAAATTTTTCACAAGTGGACCAGCAAGCAACATCATGATAAGTGGAGAAAAGATTGAAGTTGTGAAAGATTTCATATTACTTGGTTCCACAATCAACACCAATGGAAGCAGCAGTCAAGAAATCAGACGTCATATTGCACTGGGCAAATTTGGTGCAAAAGACCTCTTTAAAGTGCTGAAGAGCAAAGATGTCTCTTTGAAAACTAATGTTGGCCTAACCCAAGCCATGGTATTTTCAATCACCTCATATGCAGGTGAAAGCTGGACAATGAATAAAGAAGACTGAAGCAGAGTTGATGCTTCTGAGTTGTGTGTTGGAAAAAAATACCATGGACTGTCAGAAGAGCAAACAAATCTGTCCTGGAAGAAGTGAAGCCGGAATGCTCCTTGGTGGGCAGAATGGCCAGACTTCATCTCACCTACTTTGGCCATTGTTGTCAGAAGGGACCATTACCTGCAGGAGGATATCATTGCTTGGAAAAGTGGAGGGTCAGCCAAAAAGGGGAAGGCCCTCAATGACATGGATTGACACAGTGGCTGCAACGATGGTCTCAGATATAGCAGGGATTGTGAGGCTGACACAGGACCGGGTGGTGTTTTGTTACATTGTACATAGGGTCAGTATGAGTCAGAGCCAACTTGATGGCATCTAACAAACTGTGAAAAAATAAATTTGTTTAAGTCATCCAGTTACAGTTAAATGAATATTTCCTATTCAAGTGAAAAATTCACAATAAGTAATTTTCTTAAAATTCCCAAATTTCTATCCCCAACCCTCTAAATTATCCAAAGTGAAAGAAAACTAGTTCATAACAGAAAATTACAGTGAGTTTATACACTTTTTTAAAACTCAATACTCAATAATAATCAGATTATAAAATGAATCACATTTTCACAGCTTTATTTCTGGTATAGCAGCACTAGATAACTAAGAAATAGCATGGCTTTGCTTGAGCATTCCATCTAAGATGATAGAATTATAAACATTTTATATTATTAATACAGGGAGAGTGGGCCAAAGCAGTTCACAACCTGGGAGCAAGGATAAAGCATCATTTCCAAAAACATTTTTTTCAAAGCACCAATTTCATGGAATAATCTGAGAGGTAAAAAAAAGTGTGCCCATTGTTTATGGAAAAACATGAGGTTAAATAAATAACTTTCTATATTTGCAGGCCTTTTTGTTGTTGTTATATGCCGTCAAGTTGAACCCGATTCATAGCGACCCATCCTTGGGCTTCCGAGGCAGCATCACTACAGAAGTAGATTGCCCAACCTTCCTTCCAAGGAAGGTCTGAACCACCAGCCTTCTGGTTAATAATGGTCAAGTGCCTTAGGCACTAAGCTACCAGAGCTCCTGCAGACATTTTTAGACCCTTTAAAATGTTTATGAATTATAGTAAGAACTGATGTAGTATGCTGCTTCTCAAACCTGCTTGTTCCCAGAAACTTCTCCTCTCTCCAACCCCCAGCAATTTCTCATGACTGGTAATTCACCCTTTGATAAGTTCTGTGACAGGAACAGACTTATTAAACATGACACAGACCTATATCCCCTGACTATAGATTTTTCTGATTCCTCCAAGGTGTGTCTGATGTGTTCTTGTAATACTTGAAAGTTAAATGAATATTTCCTATTCAAGGAAAAAATTCACAATAATAAGTAATTTTCTTAAAATTCCCAAATTTCTATCCCCAACCCTCTAACTTCTCCAATGTGAATCAGTAAACTAGTTCATAAGAGAAAATTACAGTGATTTTATACACTTTTTTTTTAATCAATGCTCAATAGTAATCAGATTATAAAATGAATCACATTTTCACATCTTTTTCTGGCCACATAGGCTGTAAGCTACTTGTCCTCAGGTGCTCAGTAGCTCCCTCTCTACTGACTGGCATGGAGCTGGGCCCCCATGCCATCCAATGAAAGGAGCTGTTGTGAAGGGCTCTCACTTTGTCTCTCATTTGTAAAGAGGTCCTGGAGATCTTCTGGAACTCCTCGAGGGCTGCTGCTTTCTCTTGGGAGATCTGTTCCATCCTCTGTTGCTTCTTCTTAATAGCCTCTTTGATGCCCTCAATGTGGCACTTGTCTTCCTTCTCAGCTTGCAGTTTCAGAATGTGATGGTTCTTCTCCTGCAGGACGTTGAAATCCTGAATGTGCTTCACCTTGTCTTTGATGTTCTTGTGGGCATTAGTCTTGGCTTGCCGAAACGTTTGGTCCACCAGCTCCATCAGCATCCTTTTGTGCATCTTCTTCTCCTCAGACTCCCCTGCATGCCATTTGACTTGCTTGTCCTCCTTCTGGTCCTTCTCCCTCAGCTCTTGGTGATGTTCCTTTACCAGGCACTGGTGGGTCTTGTGGGACTGCTGGGACTTCTGCTCCAGGGACAGTTTCCTAAGGAGATCCTCTGCCTTGGCTTGGCAGTCCATGAGGACCTTACGGGCTTGGTGATTGACCATGGAAGTAAGGTTGGTCTCTTGGGCATTCTTCAGGTTCTCTATGGTATGCAGATGCTTCTTGTGACAAGTCCTCTCCAATCTCTTTTGCAGATGCAGGTGGTTCTTCTCCCATAACCTCTCCTCCTTCTTCAACTGCTGCACCTGGCACTGCTTCCTGTGCTCAGTGGGGGCAGGGGTCCTCTCCAGCTTCCCCTGGTACTGGTTCCCCTGGCCCTCCAATTGCTTCTTCCATGGGCTTTCCTTCTGGATCCTGTTCTTCACCTGGCTGTCCCGCTGGACACACTGCTTCTGGCACAGGTGAGCCTTGGGCTGCTCCTTCTCCTGTTGCCACTGCTCCTGGCTCTGTTGAAGTAGCAGCCAGCGCTCCCTCTCCAGGGTCATATGGACCTTCTGGTCCCAGCGTTTCAGGTCCTCCCAGGCAATAGCAGCCTGCTGCTGGAGCTCCCGCATCCTCTGGGCCTTCTGGAGCCGGGCCAGCACCAGGGCCACAATCTTCTGGTCCCTGGAGGAGATCACCACCTCTGCCAGCTTGTTCTTGAGGAGCTGAGTGTGCTGGCTCTGAACGTCCTCACTGGACACTAGCTCTGAACTCCTCTCCAACTGAGAGTACTGGCTGGTTAGTGACTCCATCAGCTCATTACTGCCCCTATTCCGGGGGTACACCCAGGCTGACTGTGGACTCACTTTGGAAAGCACAGAAGACTTCTCTGTAGGAACTGAGGAAAGGGACCAGCAACCTACATCTCTACCGACTGACACTGGCCACTGGTTTCTATTCTGTACTTTTTCTACCCTAAAAGTTCCACTGAAGGGAGTGTAAGCTCCCCTAGGGCTTGGCGGGGGCGAGTCTCCCTGGGCTGGAGGGTACTGGTGGCAGGGCTGAGGCTGGTGGAGTTGCAGCGGCTGCCAGGTAGGACTGTGCCTGCCTGTTCCCAGATGCTGGGGCTTGGTCGCTGCCTCCCCCCAGGTATTTTCATGGCGCCGGCTGCAGGGCCGCTGCTTCCTGGCGCGGAGCGGGGACCTCCGGGCCACGTCGGTCAGGCTACGGCTTTCCCAAGGCGAACTGGAGTACCGACGCCTCTGAGGCCGCGGCGTGGGTGAATAGCACAGTGGCAGCGCCTCCCAGGGCGACGCCGCCTCGTTCCTGGCGGCCGAGACCCGGGTCCAGGCGCAAAAGGCCGGCTCGGACCGGGGCCCAGGCCCACCAAGCCGCGCGGAGGACGCGCGCTCCCGGCTGGGCGGCAGGCGCTCCCAGAGGTCCAGGTAGGGCCGCGGGGAGAAGCGGCCGAGGCCCACCATGCTCCCTCCGGGCGCGCCCAGCCACTGCGCTAGGGTCCAGGGGCCTCCAGGGGCGCTGGAGGGACCCGCCCCGGTTGCCTGTGACGCTCTGGCCACTTCATAATGCGCCTGGCGCTACCATCTATCTCCTCAAGGTCCTTGGTCCTCACCCAGCGCTGCCCACCCTGGCCTTACTGGCACTCTGAGCACTGAGAGGGGAGAATGGGGGAGGCATAGGGGGTAGGGAAGAGGCAAGGTGCATGCAGGACGGTGGGTAAAGCTGTAGGAAATCAGGGGTGATAGTTAAAGTGGGAACCCCCACCAGTGTGTTAGGTAGGGATTTGAACTCGCATTTGTACACCTTAAGGTGGCGGGATTTTAAGAGTCCACGTGAAAGCATCACACTCAGTATGGAAAGTGGCGGGGAAGCGGTGACGGTCAGAGTATCTGAGCAGCGGAGTCACCGTTAGCCTACAGTCACTACCTTTATGTCTGTGCATTTTTGCAATGAATGCAGATTTGCGGCCACGGAAGCACATGAATACCTTGCACAACCCTTTTGATGTTTAAGTGAGCAAACTCAAAGTATGTTTTAATGTTTATTTTTAAAAACTTTAAAAAAGAAAAAAGAGGATTCTATTTTTTCCCTAATATGGCAATTACTGCTTGTGACAAAATATGAATATTGTATGGATTTTTCTGAAATAGCATCAGTGAGCACCATCCAAAAATCACATTTTATTTTTTGTCCTTTTTCTCCAATTTTGTGATATTTCCTTGTTGAGGCAGCTTGGGCTATTGGAAAAGCATAGAATTTAGAGTTGGGCAAACTTGAGTTTGAATCTCCTCTGCAACTTTCCATCTGTGTGATCTTGGGCAAGTTACTTAACTTTCTTGACCCTCGAGTTACCAACAGATGGAATGAGGTTGGTGGTGATAATACTAGCTCTGCAGGGCTGTTTTGAGGGTCAGATGCATTATTTGTCAAGAGCTTGGCACCAATTATACATTCAATAAATATTATTCTGATATCCTGCTAGACTTCAGTTAAAAGTTTTAAGCCTTAAATTAACATATGGGATTACAAAAATGTCTACGGATTCCTAGTTTAAGAAGAAAGGAATGAATGTAATTCTAAAATAGTTAGGATTAAGGGTAGAATGCCAGGGAGGAGTGAATGTTCTATCATGTCCACACTGCACTGAGGGTCTTGGCTAAGTTACTTCCTTTCTCTGGGGTGCAATGAGGAAACATTTCTGGAAGACATTCTCCAATTATCGTAGCCTCCATAAAGAAGAAAAATGAATATCCACCCACCCCAGTCCTCTTCATTAACATTTCCTTGGAGCTTCACAGCAACCCTAGCTAGGCAGTGCCAGTAGAATTGATACATTTTCCTTAGGAGAAATTGGACACACAGCTATAAGAAATGACTTCCCCAAAAGTTACTCAATACATAGCAGGAGTTTTGACTTTAGGTTCAGTGCTTTTTCCTTGATATCATGCTGTCTCTCAGGTAATACACTCTGAATTGAGACATACTTTTAAGAAGCTGTCAAGCCAAAGTCTGAGGTCAGCAAGAAATACACACTCACACATGCACTGGTTGGAATACCATGTTACTCACATACAAGAGACAGCAAGGTCAGTTTTAATAGTAGGTATCCATCCCCCTTGGCCAGCAGGTCATGCTGCAGGAGAAGGACCTGTTATCTCCCTGCTGGGAACAGATAGAGCAGTGGGGTTGGCCAGGTGCCAAATCACACACATGCATAAGCAGTACAAAAAAGGCTTCCAGAACAGGGAAGGAATTTCTCTGATAATGAAGAAGAAACTAGGACAGAAAGAGAAGCTCAGTTCCCAGCAACCATTATTAGGGAATGGTCTAGGCCCAACATTCTTGATTAAACAGTCCAGGTGAAGGTTGCAAGGCCACATGACAGACCATCCTCTCAACAGCAACATATGACTATATATATACATCAGCAGGTCAAGGCCACTACAAAAAGGGTGTGGTGGCAGGGTCTTATGACCTCCTCTAATTTCACCAGGGGAGAGGAGGATCAGGATGAACATCAACAACCCAAGGCTGGTTCCTCTGAGGTGGAGGGTCAGACATGCCACCATCCTCTAACCTTTTGTGAATTTGACACCAATTGTCCCTCCCATGGCACTCACTACTTCTCTGCTGGGTTCAATAATTTGTTGCAATGCCCACACAGAATTCACAGAAAATACTCATGATTATGGGGTTTATTAGAGAAGTAACAGGTTGCAATTTAGGGTTAGAAACAAGTAAGGATACAGTTCTTCAATCAGAACAACTTCCCAGCTGTGCCACAGGCATGCTTCTCTCTGGCCTTAGCCTCTGCCCTGCTAGAGCCAGTGCTGCAAAGTTCTTTAGCTTTGCCAAGAGATACCCAAAGAGGTATCTATTCGGGGATGACAGACAAAAGTGGCAGGGATCTCAGGTAAGGGGAGGAACACAGGGCCCACACCCAAGAGGCAGGAAGCAGAGAGGTTTTGAACAGCTAAGGGAGGCAAACTTGTCTGTCAGTTTGCTGTACTGTGGTGGCTTGCATGTGCCATGAGGCTTGAGACTGTGCCACTGGTGTTTCAAATGCCAGCAGAGTTGCACATGGTACACAGGTTTCAAGGCAGCTTTCAGACTGAGACAGATTAGGAAGAAGGAAAAGGCCATCCACTTATCAAAGAATTGGCCAGGGGAAGCCTTATTAATAGCAGAGAAACACTGACTGATACATTATTGCATAACTTTATGAATAGCCTGGAAACACTGTCCAATGCAGTGCAGGAGGATACACCCCTTAGGTCAGAAGGATCTCTAAATAGGATTGGAAAAGAGCTGCATCATCACAGTAGAACCAACCTTACTGATATGGATAAAGTAAAGCTTTTGAAACCTCCATTTGCTGACGTGGCATGACTCAAATAGAGAAGAAACAGTTACAAACATCCATTAATAATCGGAACATGGAATGTTTGAAGTATGAATCTAGGAAACTGGAAGTTGTCAAAAATGAAAAGGAACACAAAAAGATTGATATCCTAGGCTTAGTGAGCTGAAATGGACCGGTCTTGGCCATTTTGAATCTGACAACCATATGATCTACTATGCTGGGAATGACAATTTGAAGAGGAATTGCATGGCATTCATCATTACAAAGGATGTTTCAAGATCTGTGCTGAAGTATAATGCTGTCAGTGATAGAATAATACTAATATGCCTACAAGGAAGACCAGTTAATACTATTACTCAAATTTATACACTCTTCTGGTTACCTAGTGCCACTCTGACAAGAAATATATCACAAATAGGATGGCCTTAACAAACAGAAGTTTATTCTTACAATTGGGAGGCGAAAGAGGGGGAGTCCTTCAAGGAGATGGATTGATACAGTGGCTGCGATGATGGGCTCAAGTATAGCAGGGATTGTGGGGCTGGCGCGGGATCGGGCAATGTTTCGTTCTGCTGTGCATGGGGTCGCTATGGGTCGGAAACGACTCGACGGCACTTAACAACAACAACAACAAAGTCCAAGTTCAAAGTGCCAGGCTCTGGGGGCTGAGTGAAAGCCTCTCAGCCTTGGGCTTCAGCTCTGCCTCCAGCTCCCGGCCCACTGAAGCTAGAGACATTTCTTCACTCAGACAGCTGTTGGCTGCTGAGGCTGAAAAACCCAAGCTTGACAAGTAAAAAGGCACAGTCCTGATGTTAACAAACCACATGGTAGGCCATTAATTCAAGTCCACTGTAAGTCCCAAGGTTGGCAGAGCATGGCAGGCTGCTCAACAAAGACATGGCTACATGCAGGGTCCAAGCATGCCATAAGCTAGAGGCCATTCCCAAAGCTTCTCCTTATATACAGGAATCAGACCACATCCCAAAGGCTGCTACTCAGCTGCTTGTGGTAGATCCCCCCATGTAGTTGATTGCCAGTCTCATCATGGGGAATAACTACCACCAGCTGCCCAGCCACTCAACCAGGCCCAGCCAAATTGACACCCAAACATAACTACCACATGTACCAACCACCAAAGCCAAAGATGAGGAAATTGAAGATTTTTACTAACTTCCTGCAGTCAAATTGACTGAACGTGCAATCAAGATGTGTTAATTATCACTGGTGACTGGAATGCAAAAGTTGGAAACAAAGAGGAATCACCTGTATGCCAAGAGATTTGGAAGACAGCTACATGGCCAACTGACTAGAAGAGATCCATATTTGTACCCATTCCAAACAAAGGTAATCCCACAGAATGTGGAAATTATCGAACAATATCTTTAATATTGCATGCAAGTAAAACCTTACTGAAGGTAATTCAAAAATGGTTGCAGAAGTGTATTGACAGACAACTTCCAGAAATGCAAGCTGGTTTCAGGAGAGGACGTGGAATGACGAATATCATTGCTGATGTCAGATGGCTCTTGGTTCAAAGCAAAGAGTACCAGAAAGATGTTTAGTTGTGTTTTATTGACTATACAAAAGCATTTGATTGTGTGGATCATAACAAATTATGGGTAACACTGAGAAGAACTGGAATTCCAGAAAACTTGATCGTATTCATGAGCAACCTGTACATAGACCAGGAGGCTGTCATTCAAACAGAACAAGGGGACACTGCATGGTTTAAAATCAAGAAGGGAGTGCATCAGGGTTGTATCCTTTCATCATACTTGTTCAATCTGTATGCTGAGCAGATAATCTGAGAAGGTGGACTATATGAAGAAGAATGTGGCATCAGGATTGGAGGAAGAATCATTAACAACCTGTGATATGCTGATGACACAATTTTGCTTGCTGAAAGTAACTTGAAGCACTTACTGATGAAGACTGAAGAATACAGTCTGCAGTATGGATTACATCTCAATATAAAGAAAACAGAAATCTTCCCAACTGGACCTATAAACAGCATCATGATAAATGGAGAAAAGATTGAGGTTGTAAGAGACTTTACATTGCTTGGTTCTACAATCGATGCCAATACAGACAGTAGTCAGG